TAAAGATACCCATTGTTTCCACCACTTTTTAATATTATACTACAGGTATTAGCTAACGCATGTAGGGAAGAAATTTCACAACATGAGAATTGGATTTTTGCAGATGGTTTCATGAGCCTGGAAAACATTTGAGAAGTAATACACTAATTTAAACAATAAAAGTAGTCCTGAAAAGTAGCAGGACATAAAATTATCACACAGAAATCAATAGCCTTCACATAACCAGTGAGATAATCCAGTGGTAGGAGAAAAGACAACTTGAAGTAGCAACATAGAACATGAAATATTGAGACTCAGCACATTTCTTGTCAAATTTATTCCTGTATGAGGAAAACTGTAAAACATTCTTGAGACTGAAAAGTAAACAAGCAAATTGCAAGAAATACATTGTGAGTTCTCTCTAATTTAAAATTAACACAATCCTACATATGCATTTACTTTCTAATTCTGCAATCATTTATCTAGGAATTTACCCTGAAGATAATCAAGGCAAAAATATGTATGCACAAGGTTATTATGCTATGGTTAGTATTCCTTCATATACTGCACTTTTCCCTGAATACATATCACATTTTAAGGAATTTCTCTAGCTATCTCCTTTTTAAAATTTAACTTTCTACTTTGAGATAATTACATTCTCATGTAAGTGGAACAAATAGTACAGAGAATGGTACTGGATGTATCCTTAACCCAATTTACCCCAGTATCATAGCCATGATCTTGAAATTAACCCAACCACTCATTTCATTCAGATTTACATGTACATAGTGAGTGTGGTTAGTTCTGTGCTGTTTTAGCACACATGTAGTTTTGTGTACAAACCACCAAATCAAGACAGAATAGTACCACAAGGATCTCTTGTGCAGCCCTTTTGTAACTACATCCATAAACTCTCCAGCCCTATCCTATCTCTGTGCCATCCCTAATCTATGCAAACTCTTAATTTGTTCTTCATTACTGTAATTTTGTCATTTCAAGAGTGCTATATAAATCATACAGTATATATAACTACTATATATATGTATATGTATGTATTTTAGACATATAGTATATAGACTGTTGGGATTGGCTTTTTCCACTGAGCATACTTCTGTTGAGATCTATCCAAGTTGTATCAATACTTCATTCCTTTTAAAATATAATCCACTTATATAACATAATATTCACCATTTTAAAGTGTACAGTTCAGTGGTGATTAGAACATTCACAGTTTGTACAGTCATCACTCCCCACCCAAAAGAAGGCCTGTACCTGTTAGTACTCAGTTCCAATTTACCCTTCCCTATCTCCTGGCAACTGCTAATCTACTTTCTGTCTCTTTAGATTTGTCTGTTCTGAACATTTTATATAATGGAATCATACACTATTATGAATAATGCTGCTATGAAGATTCATGTACAAGTTTTTATATGAACATATGTCTATTTCTCTTGGATATACACCTAGGAATGGAATTGACTGGATCATATGTTTGACTATTTGAGGAACTGCCAACCTGTTTCCCAAAGTGGCTGCACCATCTTACAGTTCCATCAGCAATGTATGAGGCTTTCAATTTCTCTGCATCCTTACCAACACTTGTTACTGTCTATTTTTTTATTATAGCCATCCCAATGGGTAGAAGTAATATCTGATTGTGGTTTTGATTTGCATTTCCCTAATGAATAATGATGTTGAGAGTCTTTTCACGTGCTTATTGGCCATTTATGTATCAGCTTTAGAGAAATGTTTATTCAAATCCTTTGACCATTTTAAAATCACATGGCTATCCCTTGTATTGATGAGTTGTAGTAATTCTGTATGTATAGTCTGGATATCAGATCCTTATGTGTGATTTGCAAATATATTCTCGATTTTGGTATCTTTTCACTTTCTTGCTAGTGTCTTTTGACACCCAAAGTTTTTAATTTTGATGAAGTCCGATTTATCTAGTTTTTCTTTTGGTTACTTGTGCTTTTGGTGTCATATCTAAGAAATTTTTGCCAAATCAAAGGTCATGCAGATTTATACCTGTATTACCTTCTAAGAATTTTATCATTTTAGCTCTTTTACTTTCAGGTCTTTGATGCATTTTGAGTTAATTTTTGCATACTGTGTGAGCTAAGGATCCATCTTCATTCTCTCGTACATGGATATCCAGTTGTCCCACTTTATTTTTTGAAAAGGGAATTCTTGGCAAGTCTAAAACCCTACTGAGTCATTCATGGCTCCTGTCACCTAACATTTTGCTATCACCAAATCCTACCACTTTGACTTTCTTAAGACTTCTCTGTCTGTTCTATTGTCTGTATCCCTTCTACTACCAACTGGTTCAGGCAACTGCCATAGACTTCGTATTTGTTTCCCTGTGTCCGTTTTCTTATTTATATCCTTCAAAATCACGCTTCACAAAGCCTTCAAGTATTGAAAATACAAGCTAAACATGTAATCCCCTATGTAAAAGGTTTTATGGATTCCCTTCTATACAAGAGTGTGACCAAGAAGGTAGTCTGAATTCAGAGGACTTGATTTCATTTCTTTCTTCTTACTATGTATATGGCCCTCTTGGCCACATATTTCTCCCCATCTGCAAAATGAAGATACTTACAGATCTTCATGGGATTTTTCATGATTAAGAAACTCATGTAAAGCACTTAACACAGGGCCTGGACTGTAGTTATCAATAAATATTAGTTACTGTTATCAGTTTATATTGTTAAATATTTTGTTGTTGACACTTGGGCAAAATCAGAGTAACTCTCTTCTCTCAGCTATTTTGGGTACTTGTAAAATAAGAATGAGTTTGAAATCTCAAGATATCAAAAAACTTAGCCTCTTTATTTTCTATCCAAATTGTAATAAATAATATTAGATGGCATTAATAATATTAAAGGCCACCCTGGCTTCAACACTCTACTTAGGAGATTTCATTTTTATTTGCAAACAACCCAGCAAATTTGGGCTTCTCCACTTTATTGTAGGGGCAAACCCAGAAGGATTTGTGCATGACTGGGTATCTACTTTAAAGGGGAAACATGTCTGACTCCTTTTGCCATCTCTCTTCAGGCAGGAATTTGTCATACTGAGTTGCAGTAAAAAAGAAAAAAAACCCAAAATCCATTACTTTTTTGAAGCAGATTCAGGGGTAGGTCCCCCTTTGTTATTTAATAGGAATATTAAACTGAAAGTTGGCCCAATTTTGCACAGATTTCTTACCGTAATTTAGAAGACAGGTGCTGTTTGTTGCATTATGTGTAAATTATCTTCTGAGAAAGGGGAACACAGATCTTAATTGCAAAATGCCTCTCATTTCTCAAGTCACACACACACATCACTTGTATGACAGTGCTAGAAAGCATCAGATCTATGTAGAAATTTTAAGGTCCTCCATAAACAAAACAATATTTTGAGGAAAAAAATTGGAGGGATGAAAAATTTTGGAAATAGTGGTGATGAGTGCACAATAGTGTGAATATAATTCATGCCACTGAATTCTACATTTAAAATGGCTAAAATAGTAAACTGTATGTTTTATATATATACACACACACACATACATATATATATTTGCCACAATTAAGTAAATAGTTATACACGTATACATAATCAGCAGTACATTTTTTAAAAAGTTTCAAGGTCAGTAATTGAGTAGAAATTTGAAGAAACTATCCAAAGCAGTTGAGCCCCTGGGGCTTTTAGCAAAAACTCCAGAGAGGTGATTTTGGCCTGAAGTGAGTCTCAAAGCTTAAACATTAAAAGGATACTTAGAACACACAGACTTTTTCATCCTAACATAATATGATAAACAATTTAAATCTGAATGTAACAACTACTGTTCCATATCTTTTCCTAATACCACTACATGTTCCTGTATTTTACTGGTCAAAAAAACTGTGAAGTTAATTGGCATAGCCTGTTATTTTCTGGTATCTGTTCCGATTTCAAAGGAAAGAAACAGGCTCAGAGAAGATGCCTTGCCCAAAGTCACACATTTAAAAAGAATATAAAAAGTACAAATGCAGTTCCACTGATTCATCATTCATTAATTATATAGATACTTGAACATCTGCTGTGTCCTAGGCACTGGGGATATAATGAACACCACAATGTCTATATCCTTTCTCAAGGATATTATTACAGTCTAATAAAGGTAGGAGTTGCCCCACAGTTATCATACAGTATGATAAGGTGGGGTAAGTACAAAGGACTATGAGAGTATTTCACAGGGCTGTTTAAAACAATATGTAATATTCAGAAACATCTGATATTTGGCTCAGCTTAACTTCTATAACTGTGTAAAGCCTAAGTTTTCCATCTTCTTTGGAAACCTCCTAATTATTCAGTCATTAGCCTTTCATAGCCCCAAGCCAGCCACATAGCCATTTGCATCACACTGCAGCACACTGAGGCAGACTGCAGGTTGAAACTTACCCAGTTTGGAAAGAACTTGTTTTACCTCAGCCATGGAAACAGGTGTACTCATTCCTCCTTCATGGGTCTACTGAAATTCAACACTTAACATTAGGTTCCTGATGCATAGTGGATACTGAATAAATGTTTACTAAATGAATAAAGTCTCCCCAAATCAAGCCTTCCTATTGAGTTGGGGCAGTCCCAACCAGCTTCCACCTTCTTCTAATATATTGCTGTAACAAAATACGGATTTCCTGGTATTTCTGTGGCCTGGGGACTGTTAACTGTTACTTCAGTTTAGATTTTTACTAACTTGACATAACCATGTTCTCCAAAAAGGTAAATATTTTATTGGTGCTTTAAAACTTGGTATCTCAAACTTCCATATCTAGAACTTTTATGAGCAGCACAAATAATCTTTTATAATGTTTAAGGGTGATGATGAAACCGCCAAAAAAGCAAAGATACTGAGATCTAGATCTTTGACTTAATAGTTACATATATTTGCAATATCTTGTAAACTATGGAAATTTCTAATGGTTTTAGGATCTTATTTGTATCATTCTTGAAGGGCAATTAATTATTTGCTATTTAATTGTAATTTTCAGGTAAAGAAGATACTCCCTCATTACTTGGCCTCTGTGGATCTCTAACGTCAGTGGCAAGTTACAAGTCTCTAACAAGCTTAAAATCTAATGACTACCTTGCAAGTCCTACAACAGAGATGACAAGTCCAGGCCTAACTCCATCCTGAAAATTTTTATGTAAAAGCCAAAAGTTTTTATGTTGTAAATGTTTAATTTACGTATGTTTGACTGCTGGGAAGACCTTTGAAATTTTATATTGTTCTGGTACATGTCTGAAAGTCTATTGCTTAGAGAGAATCCACTCCAGATAAGAGATTTTGAGTGAAAAACAATGATCCCGCCATTTTTCAGTTTTAAAATTCTTATATTTGTCATTGAGAAAGTTTAGAAAGGAATAGGCTTTAAAACAAAAAAACTTTCAAAGATCCACCAAATAGTTCATAGCAAATTGTACATATTGTTCAGCTGATTTTTATATATTTAAATATACCTTAGTGGCCAGAGACTGACTTCAAAGGTTTATTCCAGAGACTTAAGCTAAGTATTTTTTCATTCTCTCAGATTTTCAAAAAAAAAAAGTTAATTTCATTTTTTCATTAATTTCTTCGTAAGTTCTATGCTTTAAATGCCTTGTTTTTAATATCAGGGGAAAGTTCTCAGCTGCATTCTCACAGTGGCTTATTCAGTTTTTCTTCAATATTTACCATTTGGTATCAACTCAACATTCCACTTAACATTTTATAATTTCCACAGGAATGTGTCTGTTTTGGTAGTTACTGATTTAATTTGTTAGTGCCACAAGGTAAATTATTTTACAGCATTTTATGCCATTTAGGTAAAATGAATAAACTGTTTTTCAAGATTTTCTTAAAAGATTATCAATTTAAAAATATGATCAAGTATGCCTCAAATACTAGACATATTTCAAAATGTAGAACAAACGTTGAAAAATTGTTTTGCCAGGAAAGAGTTCAAGTTCAGTTAAGGATTTGAGAGGCTTTTAAACAAGGATCAATAGGGTAGTTATCATACTTGATTAATATATGTCTGATATTCAGTGCTGGTTCTTTTTCCTGTTTGTGCAACAATGAAGTGTGTCATGTGTTTTATAGCCTCTAGCATTAATCACACAATAATCTCATTTTAAAACATTTAAATGTTAAAAAATCCCCACACTTATGTACAGGTAAAATTAGTTTTCTTTTTTTAAAACAAACAAAAAAAAAGTTGTAATCTGTACTTTTATTTCTTTTGGAATTTTTGAAACAGCTACATTAATTCCTAAAAATCCCACCATACTGAAAATGTATGGCGTGTATTTTCTATAGTAAGTAATATGAGGAAAACATGATTAGCTGTGCCAAAGAAATTTTATACATTGTTTACATGATGAGGCCACAGTACTTATTGGGGACTTCATATGGTATTTTTGTTTATTGAGAAGAGTCAAGAACCGACGTTACCACATTCATTCTTTGTGTTAGAAATGTAGGAGTGTGGTAGTTTTCTGCAAAATTTACAGCTTAGTCTCATAATTTGGAATTTAAGATAGTAAGTAGTAACAAGGCAAGTCTTACATGTAAGACAGTCAAACAGTGTCACTTCGGGGACAAAGGCCTGGAAGCCCTTAAAATAAGTTATCTTAGATGTGCCAGAACATATTCAGAGCTTTATTCCTTTAGCTTAAGGCTTTAATACTTGTAGAAATGCGAATATTCTTGAGAAATGACACATTTTTGTTCTCAGTTTCTCAATTCTATATACCTGATTGTGAGTGAAGTATCCAAAGCAGGTTTTCATCAGCTTGGGGGATGGAAGGTAGGTATAATAGGACAATGGAAACTTTGGGAGAAGGGAGTGAGGAAATGGATAAGGAGAAATTTGAAAATTTTAGCCCGGACTTGAGCACTATTGCTGCTTTCCTATGAACTATCAGAATGTTTAAATGCTTTATCATTCATGGTCCACTCTCAACTAACATTTATTATCCTTTAGTAATTAAACAATGGTTTTACATACATTTTTATAATGTAGAAGGAAATTCAAGATTCCATAATCGTAAAATTTTTCAGATCTGTCTAATGTATAATTTGTGCATCTTAACATGCTGCTAAATGCAGATTTAAACATTACATCTGAGGATCATGACTTTTCCTCCTTTCTTGGAGATCTTGGTGTAAAATTCATCTGCTGTTATAAAATCAGGTTTCTACACAGTTCATTTCACACTAAAGGTAGTTACTGTTTGCATGAAGAAACAATGTATGTCTCAATCTTTAATTTTAGTTTGGTAGTGTTTACTGTTCACCCACCCCTCTTGCCTCCAAAAGAATGCTGAATTATACGCCAATATTTCCATGTGTATTCTGTTGCCTTGATGCATACTATACTTGTTGCATGTATATTAAACATTTTGTACTATGCATTGGTGGTCTTATTTTGCTTGACAAAAAGTTAACTGATTTAACTTGCACACTAAACTTTTGTTTCAGCAAATGTGGTAAATATATATTGTTTCACACCTAAAATACTAACATGAAAATGGAATCGGAGAAATCCTTATTCCAACTCACGTCAAGTTAAATATCCTATTTTTAAAAAGTAACATGATATGCTTTAGAATACACATCTATTGAATCAGTACAGTTTAGTAGTGGTTCTGGCAGTGTTACTGATTTAATTATAAAATAGTCATGTTTGCTTTCTTTGTAAGAATCATCACTATCTTCTTGGCACCTATGAGATGGCATCAGGATGATGTAAGCATTAAATAAAATCACATATAAAAGTTCTAAAGAGATAAAGGCCAAATGCAAGCTACTAATTATGATTGGCAGAAAAAGTAAATCATAAGTTAGTTGTTAAATCATTAGATTTACATACAGTTTTTAAGTGGTTATAAATGTGTCCCAAATTTACAACTTAGCAAACTGATTTGTTAAAGTTCCTGTCATTAGATGAAATGTCCAGATTTTGCTAAACATATTGGATTACTGCTTAAGCATCACGAGACTGTGGTTCATTCTGCTCTTCTGAAAGCAAAGCAGCTTCGATTTGGTTTTAGCATTTGTCGTTTTAACTGATGAAAGGAAAGGGAAGATAAAATTACCTCTTTTTCATTATGGTACATTTAAAAAGTATATTTTAATACAAACCAAAACTTTTAGATTTCTAACACAGATCACCTTATCATAAGCCCCATTTTCCATACTGCTAGTTATCTTTCCAAAACCCAAGTCTAACTGTTACAACTGTGCCGGAATTTTTTTCCTAGGCTTCCCATGGCCTTCTTGTTCCTCCTTTAGCACACAAGGCCTTTGACTACATTTCCAGTCTGATCTCTTACTACATTTCCATGTATACATTTTGTTCAAGCCATATGGACTAAATTCCACTGCCTTACTGAGACTCCCACTTCCCTGCTTATTTACTAATTGGATTGCCTGTCAGTCCAACTCTTAGGTTTCCTGACCACTCCGCTTCTCTGCCCCCAGGCTGAGTGAACAACTCCCCATATTTCCCATGACTCCCTTTGCATGCTTCTAGCAATCAGTCATAGCTCTGAAACCTCCTGTGGCCAGTAACAATATCTGAAATGTCTTGTCTCCAGTGCTTTTTTTATACTGCCTACTACAAAAAATGTCCCAATAAATGCTGACAGATTAAAATATAAAAGCAGTAATCTTTTATTTGAAAAGTTCATCTTAGAAGAAAATTCAAAAGGGATACAATAAACTTGTCCACACCCCAAACACTTGTGCCCAAGACAAAAAGAGGGAAGAATTTGTTTTTAATTTTAAGTTCGGGGTACATGTGCAGGTTTGTATATAGGTAACGTTGTGTGTCATGGGGGTTTATTGTACAGATTATTTCATCACCCAGGTATTAAGCCTAGTACCCATTAGTTATTTTTCCTGTCCCTCTCCCACCTCCCACTCTCCACCCTTTGACAGACCCCAGTAGGTGTTGTTCCAAGAGGGAAAATTTTAAAAAACACATGCAGTTAAATAACCATCGTGAATAGTTTTCCTAGAAAAAGAAGAAAAAAAATTGCCTTTTTTAAAAAAGTCAAATATGTACTACATTAAAGGTTGCAATCATCTAATATTTAAAATTAAAGATGTTCCTTCTTAAAATTTTACATTTAATCAACTAAATGTTTATGTTAGAAAATGTAACGTTAATAGAATAAAAGCTGTTTGAGAAACATCACCAAGAACACTGTTGTGGCGCATGTTTACAAATATTGCAATTCCTGCAACATATGTATTGAAAAGTCTGGAAAGCCCATATGGCTGAGTTAAATTTGAATACTGACGTAAAACCTGGGAATATTCATCGTGCCAATTATGGTTCAATTATTTTATCAGACAGAACTCTGGAAGCAAATTAAAATTTTAAAATTTTAGCTATTCCATGGACTGAATTTTTCTAGGTACTATTTTAATACAAATTAAGTTATTATGGCAAAATTCTGAACCCTTTTTGGTTCAGAATTCTAAAAGTATTGTTTCTTTACCTCTTAAGTATAAAGAAAGCTTCAATTCAGCCTTCTTTTCATCCAGATACATTGCATGTAGTATGTGTTAGAAAAACTACTAGGCATTTAGATTTACTTATATTACTTTATTCATAAGTAAGAATTTTCCTAAGTGCAGTGTGGGGTAGGAGACATGGAAACCTTTCTCATACTTATAGGTGATATTAAACTGAAATATGTAACTGCCTTTTGGGAACAGTATTAAGTTTTTCTGCTTTTTTTCTATGAATTATCCATAAGCATAGCAAAACTAAGATAAATTTAAATTTAATATTGTTAGCACTGTTCAAGATAAACTTTCATATATATATATCACAGTACAGCATTATACAATGATTTTATATAAAAATATTTAGAAGCACAGTGATTTTAAGAAGGCATAAACATTTTAATGAAATATAAGAAAGTCATGAATATTTATGTAGATATGTTGCAAATTTAAGGTAAATCAACATAGGATAAAATAAACAGAAGATTACATGCAAACCCTATATACTTTATTTCTGGTGTTACACTTTCCTACTATAGTACAAAATCAATTAGTTCCTCTACCAGCACTAAAGACTTGTCATCTATTCATTTTAGGAGAGGAAAAAAAATGCTTCACATTTTCCTAAAATAAAGACTGCAATAAAGTGCTGTTTTCTTTTTAAAGGATATAGATCCTAAGACAATAAAACTAAAGTATAAAAAATGACAGCATTTCTTTTCCTGCCATCATATCCTTTCTTATCTCATTCCTACATACAATGAATGATAAGCTAAAGTATTTAGACATGTACGGTGACTGAAAGCAATGTCTTCAAGGAAACAGCTTCTTGTTTAGCCTCTTACTCTACCATACTTAGTGTAAAAATCAAAGGATATTTTAGAAATATTTTGTAACTATTATTGTAGCAATAATGTCTTGTTAGAACAAGACAATAAAAATGACCTAGAGAATTCCGTGAACAATGATACTTGGATTACAAGATGGCTAAAAATCAGAGGCTATTCCTGTGTGCAAACTATTTTTACCAGTCTAAATACTATGTAATTTACCACTGAACACCCAAGTTTGGCTGAAGTGAACATTTGCTACTATCAGTAAAAAACTCCCTCTCTTACAGGAACAGCAGAAATATAGACATTTAGTCATCAAAAATGGCACAATGTACAGCACACAAATGATTATATTATGGTTCATAAGGAGAACAGCCACAATTTTGATCAAAGAAATCTTAATACATGTGAAGCCTTAAAACAGCAACATGGCAGGGAGGGACAGGGAGGCGGGAACCTAATGCATTTGAATTAAAGGAAACAGGCAATATTTGGTCAATGTCAACAATGCTATTTAACGACTGCCTTACCTACTTTACTGAAATACAGAAATACCTATGTACATGATTTAAATGTGCACAAGACTTGGGCTTTTTTCTAGACTACGTACATCATTCAGCACACAATTCAAAAAGTTCTTGTGTATCCGACACACTCCCAATAAGATGATGTTACACTGAAACATATAATATTAAACTCGCAGAGATTGCTTTTGATGCTAAGGAGTAATTTGTCTTATTTTTACAAGAATGCTCAATGGTGGTGATTTCTAGAATATTTTTTTCTGTATCACCAAAAATAGGATAAAATTTATTTTAAAATTATGGTTTAGAGGTAGAGCTGAAATCATTTATTTAAATTATAGGAAAGAAAGACTTAAAATCATTGTAAGAGAATAATGGTGAAAAACATTCTTGCCTAAGAGTCTCCATCTTCTTTGGTTATAGTTGTTGTTTCAAGTTGAAACAGCATCACTAGTACTGCTGCCTTCGAACATTTTGTTTCTGGAAAAAAGCCTTTCCAAATTCGTATGTACTGATCATAATGGCACAAGCAGGAGCAATTTTAATTAAGCGAGGAATTAGGCCTGAAAAAAGAATAGGAATAATCAAAACAAATATTTTTTTCTTACCTTATTTTTAAAAATATAATTTTTTGGCTTTATTCTGATAATGTTCAAATTAAATGAATATGTTAAAATCCATAAATTGGTAGAAAAGACTGTGCACCTCCAACAACCTCACTTCAATCCATATTACATTATAGAGAAATTTTTATCTTACTGATAGGAAATCTGTTACTTAACGTTTATTTTAATTTATAATACAGATATTTAGGAGAAAATAAACACACTATGTTACCTATAACTTCCTCCTATAAGTTAATTTTAGAAGGTGATAGGTTTAAAAGTAATCATTCTATTCAATGATTTGGTAAAGCAAGTATTTTTACCTGAAAATAATCCGGAAAATCCATTTTTAGCAACAATGTTCTTCATTATAACCCAGGTTGACATATGCAAAGGCATAGAAACTAAATGTTAAAATAAAGAAATAATGCTATTATAAATAACAATTTAATAATTCCTAATACAGATAACACAAAGTAGTGTTCATGGCCCTTGGGGATATATAATTTCATTACCATAAGAGGTTTGTTTACCTAAAAAGCTACTTTAAGTTTTAATAGATTCATTAAAAATAAAAAACAGAAAAAGGCTGTATATTTAAAGATGTATAGGACGGGATGCAATTAAGGAGGATGTACTGAGGGTTTCTCCTGATTTGATAATGCTTGTTTCTTAAACTTGATGGTAGTATTTTTTAAACTTTTTTCTAGGTCTTAAAAACTTTTCATAATGAAATTTTTAAAAGATGTATAGACAGCTACTTCGGAGGCTGAGGTGGGAAGATCGATCTCTTGAGCTTAAGAGTTCAAGACCAGGCTGGTCTCCCCATCTCTTAAAAAATGTATAGAAACCTTCATGGGGTATCCAATGCCAAAGAAAAGTCCTCACAACCATTTTTCATTCACATTTTATTATAAATAGTTTTAAAACTTTTTTTTTTCTAAAAAGAGTTCTGAGGAAAACAGTTCATTCTCCCTAGCAGTGTCTTGAGTTATTACTACCTTTCTGAATGGGTATGCTAGTCTTGAAATAAATTAGACCAGTGCTCTCTCCTTCAAAGGGTTTATTTTAGCTAACAATAACATCTCACTTATTTGCAACCACTCAACTGGAAGAAAATGAATAAAAAACAATTTTTTTTTAAACTTAGCAAAAGTAGATGTCACTGAAATATAAACATAAAGCTTGTTTGTAAACTAAATTTGTTTATTTTCATTTTATGCACTTTTCTAAACAGCTACCTTGGCCCACAGACTGCTAGATGCAATAAGATTTAAAAAAAAAATTGTAAGAACCAGATACACTACCATGTAAACAACATGACAGCTAACAGGATAAAGATTTCAATGTCTTGTTTTGAGACCAGCTGGATGATGGGCAAACAATCCTATACTGCCCTCTCTAGCTTTTGAGAGCTGCTACTCTACAAAAGTCAATGTTTACATGGAAGACAACCCTGAATCATTAAACAAGATTAAAGTATGTACCACTAAGCAAGCCCGGAAGATAAAAGTTAAGATAAAACGATATCTTTCAAAAATGACTTTCTAGAATTTTGCCATTTTATGGAGTATGATTCATTATCTCCAAATTTCATTTATATAAAATATCAGAATCTCTGACTATGAATAAATGAGGACTAAGATAAATGAAGCCTTATGATTTATTTAAGAAGCTATACCAGCAATAGTATAAGCATAAACATAATAACTACAACAGCCCAACACTGATTACAAAATATGAATGAAATTTAACTTTCTAAAGAAAGTCAATGACAAGAGCTTTCTAAGTTGGCAATTTTCACTTCATGTTTAAATTATTTCATTTAAATTTTAAAAACTAGTCAAAGAATGGTGATCAAGCAGCAGGTGTTTCTAATCTTGTAGAACTCATGCCCCAAACTAGTTTCTATTTTAACAGGAAGGTGAAATTAAGAGAATGACAAAAAGAATATCAACTGAAGGTAAGCCAAGCTCTAGTGGAACCTTAGAAGTGTCTCCTGCCTAACATTTAAACATTAAAGAGCTACTCCTACAGGTAATAAGCAAATTCTTGCACTGTAAAGAAACACTTGTATTATTAAATATTTCAAGCATAGAGAAAATAAATGCTCATTTACTGAACATCCAAATTTCCTATATCGTAATCTCTTTCAGATCCAGTTGAAGCCCCCTATATATTCCTCCCCAATTGTATTTTTCCTCATTCTCAAAGGTAATCACTCTTGTCTTTCTTTTTTCATCTTTCTCATGCATTTGTTTAAATGTTTACATCTAAACATATCCAGATGTATACTCTTCTTTGTATACATCTGGAATGTACAGAACAATGTATACTTTTCTTTATCCTCCTTTTAAACTTTATATAAATGGTATCACACTGCACACTGACTTCTGCAATGTGCTTTCAGAATTATCTAGGTTGGTAAGTACAGCTATATTTTATTCATTTTAATTGCTGCATGGTATTGCATTATATGGCTTATAATGATTTATCCATTTTCCAGTAAAGGGACATTTAGGTGATTTCTAACTTTTTGCTGTTTTTAAAAATCTTGCCTTGGATATCCTTGTACATGTGCAAAAGTTTCTCTAGGGCACATATCTAGGAGTGGAACTGATAACTCAGAATGGACTCCTTGCTACTGCCAGATTGTTTTCCAAAGTAGCTGTTCCAAATACTGTTACCATCATGGCATAAAGTTCCCAGTGAGCTACATCCTCCCCAACAGTTTAATTTATATAAAATGTTCTCTCACTGCTGTTCCTTAGTATTACCAAAATTGAACATTTTAAATAAGTTTATTTGGCAAGTATAACCATTTCATAATGATTCATTTCTATTTTAAAATAGAAATATAATAAATACTGAAATACAGAAAAATATTGCCTTAAATATTAAAACCAATGTACTATTTATTAAATCTATTAAACATTTTAATTTTAAAATGTTTAAAAATTAAATATTGCTTGAGTAGTTTTTTTTTTCTATAGTTCTATTGTCCAGTTAAGAATAGTGTTTTAAAAATATTAAATGTGTTCAGAGAAAAAGAAGTTTAACTTCTGGAAATAAGTACATTTGGGCCAGGTTTAAAAAGCTAAAACCAGAGATTAAATTTTTAAAAATTAATAATATACGACATACTCATAAATTAGGTAAAAGTTATCTCTGTTATAGGATATGGCACTTACTCCATGCTAATGTGCTTCTGAATGCAGCCTCTGTTCCAGTAGATTATGAGCTCTTTGAGGATTTGGGTAATTGTCTCATTTATCTGTACATACCAGCATGGTGCCTGACACAGTATAGGCACTCAGTAATTGACTAATGAATGAAGAATGGAAGAAGTGGTCAAAGTAGGCTGACAGATCATATACTTGCATGGAACTATCATTCTATAGTATGATAGATGCAATACTTCATATTTTCTTTTTTGCTTAGAGAGAAGGGATTTGGTATAGTTGAGCTGTGGAATGAAGGAAGTCACTTCTAAATGGAGCTGAGTTACTTCTTGGGGACAAATAATGTAAATCCAAATAGTAAGTATGGGCTGATTATCACTCAAATTGCAAGTGTAATTTCAACTGAAATATTATCTTAGTGAACCTTTAAGTAATTGGTTCATAGCTGAAGTACACTAACAGATTAAAATTTACAATGATAATCATGGAAAATTAAAACCCAACTCTTAAGATTTTTCCTTTTAGGTTTAAATGAGGAAACATTAATTAGAAAAAACCGGTGATAGGTAAGAGTTAAATCTAATAAAGAAAGATGGCTCCCTGGTGCCAGTCTCAATGAAGATATATATCACAATCACTTAGGGATCATTTTCAAAATATACAAGCTAGAGTTCCACCTCAGAGTCATTAAATGAGAGTCTATTGAGGGTGATGTCCAGCTTTAGGTATATTGAATAAGCACCTCAGGTGACTCCAATGATTAGTTACCAACATAAGTGGCTCCCAAACTTTAGTGTGCATTAGAATCTACCTGTACAGATTCCCATCTTTTCCCTTATCAACCACCATGACCACCACTACCTCAATGCCCCAGTCATTAGCCATTTATGCTAAATTACACCAAAGAGAAACTGGTGAAATCCTACTATATTAAATATTATACTTAAGAGGGGAAATAGAAATTCTGATAAGAAAAGAAGAATGAAACAAAGTAATTTTGAACTGTCAAAGGAGGACAGATAGGGCTTGGCTTTCTAGAAGGCTCATGCCTAAAACAGGGAAGTGGGAGAACCCTAATATAATAAAACTCTGATTACCTCCCAGGTTTTCATTAGCTTCTAATATAAGAGGAGAGTAGGTATTTGACAGGTCAAAGACAAGGATGTCACCAATATCCATCAGATTCATTTGTAGAGGTCTGTAACCAGCTTCTTTCAACATTATACCTATTTTACCTTTTATGCAAACTATTATAATCATGGGTAGAAGAATTTTTATTTACACTGTAATAGTCTTATCACA